CCGCATCCGTCACCCGAAAGCGCTGCTTGAACGGGCTGTTCTCAGTACCGAAATCCCTCACCGCTGACAGGATGATTTTGGACGCACGGGGGCCAAATTTGCTCGAGGCGGGTTTGAATCGGTGGACACAATCTTTGGGCTGTGCCGAAGCTATTTTGCAGATGCGCCTCGCTGAGAACGAAATCCTCGTGGTTTCAGGAGCAGATTTGAAAGATTATTACTATCATTACATCATTAGCCACCAGCGTCTGGTACGGAACTCGCTTGCAGGCTTCGTGGACGAGTCCGTGGCTCGGAGCTTCAGCTGCTTCGAAGAGCAACTTGATGGGACGGGGCCTTACAGAGCAGCGCTAAACAGTATGGCGATGGGGGACCTGAACAGCGTCGAGTTCGGACAACTTGCTCATTTGTCCCTCAGCCTGCAGGCACAGGTCTTCTTCCCGGAGGAAATGTTGACGCTGAAATCGCGCGCTCCACGCTCTTCCATTGCAGGCGGAGTAGTGATTGACGATTTATTCATTGCTGAAAAGATCGATCGTGCCAGGATGAACGAGTTGGGCAGCGGCACCACTGCTGGGGCTCTCCGGCTCAAGCGGGCGGAGAAGGCCTACGTCGACAGTGGTTTGAAGCAGAATTTCAAGAAATCGTTCAGTGAGAAAGTCCGCGCTGAGGTGTGGGGCGCAGAGATCGACGGCGAAGTGGGGACATGCAGGCCCCTGACATGTCGTTTGATTCCTGTGCTTTCTATCACTGTCGACATCATCAAAACAAAAGCTGCTACCCGCTACATTCTTTCATCCATTGCCGGCTTTTTTGTTGCGATTTTCCAATTTCGGAGGCGCTGCATGTCCCTGCTCGAGGAAGTCTTCAAGGTGCCGGACTGGCTTGATGATCACAAGGCATTTCGTATCTGGCCTGCTCTTGAGGCCGAGCTTTGGATGCTGGTACTCGTTTCTCCCGCTGTCAGGTTCAACCTACGGAGCTCGTTCTGTACGGAAGTGTCCGCCACGGACGCTTCAGACAGCTGGGAGGCCGAGGTGGCACAGGAGTTTCCCGAAAAATTTGTTGAGGAACTCAGTCGTCACAGTCTCCGGAAATCCGTATGGACCAAATTGCTCAGGCCTGCGCAGGTTACCGCACGGATCGAGGGCATCCTTGACCCGTCTGAGGAGCTCCCGGGGGGAGAGTCTTTTGGCTACCATCCGGTTTGGCAGACCTTGTTCAGGACCGTGAAGTTCAAGGAGATTTGGAGGAGGCGAATTTGGAAGCCTCGCCACATAAATGTTCATGAGCTTCGGACCTTGCTTGCTGCCGAGCGACGGAGAGGTCTTCTTCACCCTGGTTCAAGCATCGTGACAGCGAGCGATTCTCAAGTATCTTTAGGAGCCGTCCTCAAAGGTCGATCGGCATCACCTAGACTTAACGGCATTCTCCGTCAGAGCCTCCCGGACCACCTCTCTTCCGATTGCACGGGGATCTATGCCTATGTAGGAACCTCTGACAATCCTGCTGATGATCCTACTCGGCATGCTCGTGTTCGCGAAGCCCGAGAAGCCATGCCTTCCTGGATGGAGCGCGCTCTCGGAGGCTCGTTTGCTGAGCTCGAGGATTTCCTTAAAAACTTTGGGTTGGACACGGTTAGCATGCTTGGGCTCCCTCCTTTCGAAACCATCATGCCTTTGGCTTTGTCGAGTCCTCGAGCCCCTCGTGCCGAACGCCGTGGGATGTTCCTGAAGCAGCTTAAGGTGAAGGGCTCAGAGCATGTAGCCGAAGAGTTCGCTGATAGCCTGGTCCGACGTGGATCCATCAGAGCAGAGGACCTCCGGCATCTTAGCGAGCTCCTCCCGGCCGAGACGCCCGCTCGAGGCGGTGATCTGAGTCAGGCGCATTCTTTCAGCAGTGGGATGTTTGTTCACGGAGGTGTTCTTGGCCTTCGACAGAACTGCCGGTCTTATCCCAGGAGCAGTGCTGCTGTCGCGCAGTTTGTGAATGAGCACTTCCCGCAGCATACGTACACGAGTTTCTCTTTCATGACAAATGTGAGGACCCCCCCTCATCGGGATTCGCGCAACCACCCCGACAGCGTGAACCTCGTAGTTGGGCTTTCCGAATTCGGAGGCGGGGGCATCTGGGTTGCTGATGATTTGGGAGAGGTTGCTGAAGAGATACAGGGCGAAACCGTTTTGGGAAAGAACCTGGATCTACAGAGCGGAGCTGTCACACTTCAGCCCCGAAAGTGGCACTTCACCCGGGAGTGGACTGGCGACCGCGTCGTTCTTGTCCTCTACACTGTTCGGGATTACCTGAAGGCCCCCCGCAGCGACCTGGAGTTCCTGACCGGGCTTGACTTCCACCTACCGGAGCCCGTCTATTTGAAGTTTCGATCTTTGAAGCCGCCGTCCAGTCTCCGCTCTACCAGGCATGATGAGTTCCTGGTAGCAGGGAAAGGACCCAGGTTAGAGCGGTGCGATGATGACGACATCTGGCCCAAGGACGGGCCCGTGCTTGACTTGCCGCCTGCCGTTGTGCAGGCTCTTCTTGAGTTTGATGCCGAACAGTTTGTTTGCCCGAAGCGAGACCGCAGGCAGCTGACTGAGAGATTGTTACGGCCTGGTTTTCTCGACTGCTATTCAGGTTCCAGAGGAGTTGCTCATGAGCTTGCTGAAGCTTCCGGTACCTGGGTGCTGACCTTTGACTATGCCAGGTCCCCTGACGAGGATCTCTTGAACGTTGACCTGCAGGCCAGACTCTTTTCGCTTATCCGAGGCCGAGCGTTTCTGGGTTGTGGAGCTGGGCCTGTGTGCTCTTCTTTCTCAAGGGCCATCAGACCCCCTGTTCGAAACAAGGAGTGGCCTCTGGGGATCCCCGGTGCCAGGGCCAGCATGAGCGAAAAGATCAAAGAGAGGAACCTGCACGCGTCCTTCACGGCCTCCCTCGCGAGCGAATGCCTGCGCCTGAACATCCCCATTTGGGTTGAAAATCCTCACGGCAGCTACTTGTGGGAGACGCCTTGTTGGCGAGATCTTCTCGGCGAAGATTGGCCCAGCCTTTGCTGGGTCGTTGACTACCGCGCCTTCGGGACTCCCTGGAGGAAGAGAACCCGGTTCTTTGTTGGAGGTGACGCCGGTGGCCAGTGTGTCAGATGCCCAGGCTGTCCTCAACACCAGCGACTCAGCGGCTATGCAAAGTTGCACCGACGCCAATGGACTAAGGTTGCCGAGGCGTATCCGAAGCAGATCAACAAGCTCCTTGCACAGCATTTGATCCGACAGAGCTCGGCCCCTGAAAAGAGGCGCCGACTGGACCTCGTGAGCTGCGCAAAGTGCGTTGGCTCGCGGTTTGGTGAAGCTGCCAACCCTGGACCAAGTGCAGCCGAAGGGAAGCTCACCTCGCTGGAGAACGTTTCCTTGGTCACTGCGGCTACTGCGAAGCTTCAAAGCCGCGTGGTGTTGGGTTTTGAGGAGTGGTTGCTTCAGGGTCTAAGTGATCGGGCCCTCCGTAGCCTTTCCTCGTGCGCCATGGCCTACTGCACGCTGCTGAGAGCGTATGGGGACTACCTCTTCCGGAGCGGTAGCCCCATGTATCTGTACCGGCATCTTCTGGCTTTCATGCAAAAGAATCGGCTTGAGCTCCGACCATATATGCCGCTGGCCTGGGATCTGCTATCGAGATGGGAACGCGTGCAGCCTGTACGGCACAGGGCGCCGATGCCCGAGGCTGTTTTCAAGGCTCTCTTTGCTCTCGGGGCCATCAGGGGTTGGCGACGTTGGTGTGCAATCCTGGGGCTGGCTTACTTTGGCATAGCTAGAGCAGGCGAGCCGCTGCGCACCCAAAGAAAGGATCTGTTGCTCCCTTCTGACACGCTGTCTCCGGCGTCCATCGGCACGTTTATGGCCGTCCGATCGCCAAAGACAGCTTTCAGAGGCAAAGGTCGTGTGCAGCACATCTGCATCAAGGATGTTGACTTCAGCCTTTTCTTGGAGGGAGTTTACGCAAAAGTGCCACCGGATGATCTGCTGTACAATGGGTCGCCTGCCTCTTTCAGAAAGAGCTGGGCTGAGCTTTTGAGAGCTCTCTCCGTCCCTAAGTCCCTCCGTCTGACACCTGGTGGGCTCAGAGGCGGAGGAGCAGTCAAGGCTTACCGCGAGGGCCTAAACATACAGGATCTGATGTGGCGCATGAGGGTGCGCCATGCTGTCACTCTCGAGTCTTATCTCCAAGAAGTGGCAGCCTTGTCGGCAATGTCGAGCCTTCCTCGTGAGTGTCGTCGTCGTGTCACCGCTGCTTGTGTCTTCTACCAGGCGGCCCTCCACGCCTCTTTCCTCAGCAGCGGCTAACGCTCTTCGCAGCTGGTTTTGGAGTCGCGGCGCACGCTGCTCCCGCCGTTGTGGCCGTGTGCTTACAGGTGGAAAGAAGCTTGCTGGCACCTCTTT